GTATTTGTGGTTTTCATTGTCCTCCATATGTTGATATAAATAAACAAAAACAATTAGTAGAACGATTATGTAAATTATATAAAAAGGGTAATGAATTATGCCCAATCCAAGATAGATTACCAACAGACTTTTGTCCAGCGGATTCTTATATTCTTTTAGCAACGCATTTATTACATGAATTATGGTATAATACAAATGATGCAGTTTATCTTTATAGGTAATTACTGTTTATATTATTAAAAAAGATATATTTAAAAAAAAATTTAATAGTAATAATATTGAAGTAATATATTTAATAATATTTATAATATAATATATTTAATAATATATTTTTATAGAGCAATGGAATTATTAGAATGTGGTTTATTATCGAGTCCTGCTAATTTTTATATAAAGATTCTATTAGTACGAATATATTTAGAAGCAGGATTAATTGGTGCTGCAGATCATGTTTTTACTTTATTGGATGTTAAACACATTCAATTAGATTCATTGGGTTATTTACATGCACCATTACTTGCTCCACTTGGCCATCTTTCATTAGCTTCCATAACGTTAGATCATACAACCAAGTTTTTTATTGCAAATTACAAAGATGTATGTATTTGCATATTACATTTGCTTTATTAGTAAGATATTTTATCTAATTAATTATTATAATGTGATTAGAGTGCAGATCATTTAACATTTGCTTATAAATATGGAAGTTTTGTAAAGATTCAAGAATTTGTGGAATTAAAAGAACGTTTGGAAAATTCTTTTCACTTTGTTATGACTACTGTAGATAAAATGCTTCTTGAATTAAGTTGGTGTAATAGTTCCACATCTTTAATTTCTACTTTAGATAATATGGATATACAATTAACTGAAGATTCTGTTCGATTGAATTCTTTACGAGATAATCGTGATTTAGAGGTAATTCTATTTTTATAATTTATTTAAGAAAAAAATGACATTAAAATTTCAGAAAAAATTTAATTCTTGATAACAGGTTGTTCCTGGATGGGAACCACTTACAGAAAATGGAGAAGATTCTAGAATGCAAGAAGAAACACGCATATGCATGCTGAGATTACTTGCAGTGAGGGATTTGATTTTAAAAATTTTAGCAGCATGCGTAGCACCTGATAGTTCCTCTCTTCTTATTCGATTTTCTAATGAATTAAAACAATTGAATAATGAGCAAATTCCTTCTATTCTTCAAAAATTTGAATTAGAGGGAAAAAAGATTAGATCATGTAAAATGTTAGTTCCTATGGATGCAGTTGAAAGGTTAAGCGAAGCTTATTACTCCGAACAATTGAAGACAATTGCCCGACTTGCAGAATCACTTGCACAGTCACGTTATCCTGATCTTGAATGTATTCAAATGCTGCAAACTTCACCATGTCTTCAGACAATAGATATTCCTGAAAAAAGAATTCCAGTGTCTTTCAAGCATTTTTTATTAAGAGCATCCACATGTAGTGAATCTCTTGCAATTATTAGTGCCATATGTACTCTATGTGCAACACAATTACAACCTAAGACTTCGCAAAAAAAGAACAAGAAAAAATGTAACAAACAAATAACATCTCTTCCATTAAATGATAAGGACCATGTAAGTCAATTATAAATATAAATATATTTGTATCAATTGTATTATAATTTGAGCAATATTTTATTATAGTTTATTATGTTATGTTTCAGAATTGGAAAGAAGTAGCGATATTGCTTGAAGAACGAATTCAAAATTTAGATTCAGTATTGTCAGAATTTGAAAAATATCAATTACATACAGGATTAAATAATGACGAAGATGTGTGTGCTACAATAATTAAATATGGACAAGATAGTTTGGGACAAAGTTGTAGATCGCTAAAATCTCGAGCTCAAATCACTTTAAAACTTCTAACTAATTTAAAAAGCTGAAATTGTACGAAAATTCTTGTACAAAGAATATCCATCCAACTATTCACTGATTTTTAAAAACGAATCATTTATTGTGTACATAGTTCTTAGTCCTAATCAATTATAAATACCGACTGAATTCTTTATTGCAAGTCAGTTTTTAAATGGCCTTAATTTTGTGTATTAAATTCATAAATGTTTAATAATTTAATAATTTTTTTTTTGTGCACAATTTTCACTTGATATGTTCATGTTGAAAATAGAATACACTGCCGTCTTATATGAATTATTTTCAAAAATAACGAATAAACAGTATATTTGATAAAATTGGATTGAATTAATAAAATTTGGTTGAATCCAAATTTTGTTATGTTTGATGCATAACAAGATATTGAAAAAGATTTTCTAATTAGTTATTATTAACTTTATTTATATAATCATTTAAAAATTGCTGTATAATTTTTTATTGTTTTAAAAATGACGAAATTTAAAAATTTTAATTTGTATTGTTATATTTACATGTGCATTAAATATGTATTTTCATAAAGATGTGTATAAATAGATTATAGATAAATGTTATAAAATTTAAATTAATTTAATGAAAGCTATTTTATGTCTTTTTTTTTTTAATATCAAACAAATTTATATTTTATTTTGATTCTTACATTGTATATGAATAAATTTATTACTTGTTAATCATGTAATTTTAGTAATTAGTTGATTAAATTGTATGAAATTAATAAATTGGATAAATTTATACGAAAAGGAAATTTGTTGTATCAATTATTACATTTATTAATGTAATAAATTGTTAAGTGCACAAGAATAAAAATTTAAAAATTGTTAAATTATTGATCATTATAGTTACAAAATTATTTTTTATTACGAAAATTTCGAATGCATGATGCATGTTATAACAAAATTATATATAATAAAATGATTGATTGAAAAAAAAAAAAAAGAATGAAACAAATCAAAGCCGTGTCTTGGGCACGTAAATTTTACAGACTAAATATAGATAAAAAGAATAAATAAGAAGAAAAAGATAGAAATAGGATAAAAATATTAAAATCAGCTCTATTTCTAAAGCGCCGCAAATAAAACTCATTAAGAAAGAATAGAAAATAGAAAAAGAAAAAGATAGAATAAGAATTGGTACTTAATGCCATCTCTTGAATAGCTAAAGACATCTTTTCAAAGCAAATAAAGAAGAACAAGAACTGAGCATTAGCGCTATCTTTTGAATGCTTTAGGAATAAAATAAAGCAGTTAAGAGATGGCGTTGATATTCAATTCTTATTTTATCTCTATCCTTTTCCAATTTTTTTATCCTTTCTTTTTGAGTTTTACTTATGGTATTCTGAAGATGGCGTTAATTTCAATATTTTGATGCTATCTTTATCCTTCTTTTACTATTTTCTCTCTTTATCTATATTCTTGTCTATTTTATTATTCTTGATATAGATAAGATAAGAGATTTCAATTGAACGCATTTTCAAAATATTTTTTAATCTTTAATATAAAAATTATATTCTTGATTTTAAAATATATCTCTAAATGAATATCTTCTATATTATATAATATATATATTATATATTATAGTATATCTTGATATATATGTAAAATACATATATTTTATAATATATATTTTATAATTATATAATATTATATTATAATTGAATAAAATTTGATACCATGAAAAATAAATAATAAATAATATAAAATATATTTTTTCTGATTTTTAAAAATATTTTATTAAAATAATTATAAAATAAAAACTTATTTCTAATTCGCTTAACAAAAATAGCTTATTATAATTAAAAAAACGTATATAAGTAACAACATGAAATCAATTATCTATTTTATAATTTATATAAATATAATCATATATAAAATGCAGTATTTCATATAGAGATATACTATAAAATATTTTGTTATAAAAAATATTTATTTTATTATATTATTATAGTTTTATATTGAAATTTATAGTTTCAATTTCAACCATTACTAACGTTGCAATCTCAAAAACACATGACGATGACAGGAAATGATCCATTCGAAAAAATGTCAACGAAAAAATATAATTAACCCGAATTATGGTTATTCGATACAAAATCCTAAGTGACACTTTTGAAATCAACTGGATTCAACCGGAACAAAGTTCTATGAAATTTTAGCGCGAAATTTGAACTTGTGCAATGTGTTTTCTTCAAACAATTATATAATTCGGAATTTTTTAGGCTATACAGTTGATATATTACAATTTACAATATTTTATTTTGTAAATTACAATATTTTATATTGATATCATTATTAAATATGAATTCCTTTGCGGAAAGTCCATTATTTTTTTTCATGGATAATATGTCACCCATCATTCCTGTTAAAGTTACCAAAGATACACGAAAAATCATTGAATTGTCGGATACAGGTTGTGATGCCAGATTACCGGCGACCAAAATTTTACAAAATACCGATCGATCTTATCCTCCAAAATCTAAGATAAAATTAAATGAAGATTGGCAATCATATTGCGATGAAAAAATTGAGAACAAATATTATGAAGAAAGAATGCAAAATGAGCATAATACAATGGATGCTAACAATGGAGGCTATTACTCTTTTCCTAAGAAAGATGAAATCGATCAGGTAATTATTAAGAGTTCGATTTTGAATCAGATATTATATCGAAATTACTAGGAAAATTGTAATTAAAGAAAATTGTTTTTATAAAAATTCTAACTTATTTAAAGATTTAATTTAATTTTTAATATTTAAAATTTCTTTCCTGTATATAGCTTTAATAATTTTTTAGTTACTTGATTAATTTTATAGAACATTTATTACATTTTAGATATTTTAATTTGTAAATAGAATCTATTCTACTTATTTGGATATTACAAATTTCTAAAAAAAAAAAATTATTCTTTTTTCAATAAAAATTTAAGAACAGAAATATTATTTTTATGAGTTTAATAAAAATCTTTTAAAATTATTTTTTCTTTAATTATTTCTACAGAATTATTCTTTCTTTAATTATTTCTACAGAATTATTCTTTCTTTAATTATTTCTACAGAATTGGGAAAACTTCTCTCCACTTGAAGATTTTATGGAAAATGTAAATTTCAGAAAAAAATTAGAGACTAAAGAAATCAGATCTAAATTAAAAACACCAGAAAGAACAAGACCAAATTCTTGGAAGCACAAAGATAATGAAATTTTATCAAACACCATTCCCAATAATCACAGTCAAACTCGACAAAACGTTCAAAATAATATGAATGATATAAAGAAAGATACTACTTCTCATACTATAGGGTCAAAAACGACTGGGTATAAATTCAAATTTCCTCGTTCTAATTATCCCAAAGTAGATCCCCGACTTACCGATCCAACAGTTACCAATAGAGAAAAACTAATTTCTATGGAACAAGAATATTACGAAGAGTTTCCATCTAAGGATATACCGGAGAAATCATCGAAAAATTATAAATTTAATTGGCAAAGAAATGCTAACATATCCGATTACACGGAGAATCTTATGGATGAAATATCGCATAAAAATTCTAGATTTTCTAGATATAATTCGAAAAACGAAAAATTCACTAATTCCAGGAAATCTAACGACACGTTGAAAAATTGGAACGAGACAAATGCTAGCAGAATTCGATCCAGAACTTGTTCACCTCCCATCAGTCGACGAAAAAGAAGTAGATCTTTTTCCAAAACGTTCTACGAGGAATTGAATCAACATGAAGATCAACGAAATACAGAAGATTCGGAATATATGAATAACGATGAGCCTCGATTTTCACAAAATTCAAATTCAAACGAATCCGTAAATGAACCAAAGTTTGTGGATCGTGGAGTGGATAAGGACAGTTTATCCGACTTGCAAAATGTTTGTACATCCACTGAACGATTGTTCAGTTCGAGGACAACGATTGTGGATCCTTTGTCGGATACCGGTAATACAAGAGTTAGCTTCTGGGAGTTCATTCCATTGGACGATATCGATGATCAAAAATGCGAAAAGATTACTGAACAAGAAAGTAAGAGAACTGGTTTTCTGCACCAGCAAGTTCGTTTAAGTAATGAGAATTATTCTTCCACTAAACGTTCGCCCAATAATTTTATTAGAGTTGAGAGAAGAACAGAAGTTCAAAAAGATATCAGAAAAATACCCGAAGAAAATTTTCCGAATTTCAAATTATACGAAAAAGAATTTCCGAAAAGGTTAAATACGGAAAAAACTGCGTTGTTCAATTCTTTTCAGAACGAACGATACAATGATAGATCAAATACTACTGAGGCAAAGTTTATGAATTCTAACCTCGAAAGACAGAGAATAATGTATTCGAATATTCCTATAAAAATGAAAATTGTCAATACATCGAAGACTCAAGAACGATGTAATTACGAATCCAAAAGTCAAACCAAGATCGGCAGTAGATTTAATTTTGGATGGACAAATAAGACGAATCGATATTTAAAAAGACCAGTCAGTGCACCGAAGCCTGAGATCATCGAAGACAAAAAGAAGAGAATGATGCATATGCAAAACGATGCATATAAACAAAAGCTAAAAACAAATATTATGGAGAGAACGGCGGCGTGTTTGAAACGCAAACTGGATAAAACGAAAATCAAGGAAGATCTGGCAATTTTGAATCAGCAGATAATCCAGAAGAAGATAAAGTCTGAACAGTCTGCCTCCAAATTGCCTGTAAGAATAGGAAAACGTCTTAGATCGAAGAATCCTATCGCTAGAAATCGAATTAATGAGGCAATGTACGGTACCAAACAAGAAAATAAAGAGATAGAAATAAAAGAATTTAATGATACGTGTCAATTGAACAATATAAGATCTCGAACGAAACCGAAGTTGAGACCGAGCGTGATAATAGATGAAGGGATAAATGTTACCGAAACTTCGAAGAATCTTCCATTGATAGAGAAAATGCAGTCTATCGTGAATGATTGTAGAATTGGAGTTAAAGCTAATTTCAATGAGGATTTGAAAAATGTGAAATCAACAATGATTAAAGATCACGGTAATGATTAAAAATAGATTGAAATTAGAGTATCCGATTTTAGAATACGCGACACTAAGGTTAGAAATTGTTTGTCTTAAGTCGGAAAATATTCGGATCTCATCGGGAATTATCGGTTCGAGTCGGATTAGATCGAGTTCTCGAAACACACGAATATCGAGATTTCTAAAATTTTAAAAAATCGAATCATATTTCGAGATCAATTTTATTGAATATTATGATGGATTCACAAATATGAATTGGAAGTGTTTACGAACGAATTAGTATTCATGATTCGAAATTTTAATTTCGAATTGAAATCTCAATATTTATATTTCGACTTCTTGCATATTATATCTATTATATAGCTAGGAAACTGTGTGTTTTCGAAACTCCTGAAATTCTTGTTTCTGAATGGATGAAATTATATGTTTTTTAGAATATTGAATTTTGATTTTCAAAAATAATTTTGTAATTCGAAATTTTTTTAAATATAAAATTTCGAGGTTTTGACTATTCTATATTTTAATAATGACGATTCAATTAATTTTGCAGATATAAAGAAAGATGCGAAATCTTTGAACGAAGAGGATAAGAATGTTGAGGTTAAAGATAGAATCGAGTCGAAAAAATTTGTAAATATCGAGGAGAATCGACGGAAGAGGAATAACATGAATGATAATCGAGAGATGAATCAAAAGAATTTTTCAATAAGAGAAGAAATCGAAGGTATTTCAAAAAATGGTTTGAAAGAGAAATGTTTTTTTCGTTTGAACGATAATATTACCTGTGATAATTATTACGATAAAGAATATAAGAACGTAAATCCACTTCGATCGCGAAACATATCAATCAGATCACAATTTTGATTTTGTTAATATTTTTTTTTTCAAAATAATTTCTTTATTTCAAGGTACGTATATTTCACGTTCAAAATTTAATGTAATGTAAAATTAAGACATTTTTTTTAAACATATGATTAATACTAGTATTAAACATCTGTATCATAAAAGTTCAAACGATAATGTTATCAACTGTATAGCCTTTAATAGTGAATTTTCTTCAATTGTATATGCTTATACTAAATATCAAATTATTCTCAAATTTATAATACTCTATTTCAATGTAATTTCTGTTTTTGTAAATTTTTGCAATAGTATTTTTAATAATTATCTATATATTTATTTTGCTTGATCAATTTTCATGATACAAAAAAAAATTTTTTCAACTTATCTCAAGATATAATTGATTGATAATGCAAATACATTGACTCATTGAAAAAAAAGATAGAAACGTATAAATTCGTACAGATGAACCATAATATTGGGACATGCATATGTGTCGACGAATCTGTGGGGGATACATCATGGGTTACCTCAAAAGAAGATCCCGAATGATACCAATTATGTCATCAACGCACCATACAACCCTCTGTCTCTGTTAGTCTGATGTCGTACTATGGGTTACGCCCGCATGTCAACCCCCTGTCAGACTTGCCGCCCTCGTATTTTTGCTCTTGCTTCATGTAAAAATCCCCTAATCTTAGAATCAAGAGAAAGATATGTAATTGTCTTTATTTACTTTTCCGCCTTTTTCACGATCGGATGAAAATATGATACAGTAGTAAGAAAATATGCATGATCAAATGAATATTTATGGATGTTGATATATTCATGGAACACTTTTGGAAAATTGATTCTAAAAATCAGAACAAAAGCGAAAGTTGGTATGTAAAAATGTTAAATAAAACTTAAAATGTGAACACATCTAACAATGTCAATTTGAAATTAAATTTTATTTTCATTGCTGTGATAAAAAAAGACGTTAAATTATGAAAATTGTTTAAATATTAGATATTTATATAGAAAGGAGATTTTACTATATTTATTTATAAAAATATTTATTATCAAGTATTTATTATCAAGTCTATTCAAAATTATTCCTTTATTCAATTACAAAAATCCAATATCATTCTAAATAAAACTGAAAAAACGTATCATTAAAAAAACAAATACAACAAATTTTATGTTCATCATTAAATATGCGGTTATTCCTTTTCAGGGATTCCAGATCCATCGTATGTAATTTTCCAATATATGCATCAGGATGGGCGCGCGGAGATCGCCTTTAACGTCAGACACGTCTAACCCCCTTTGCACGTGTCATCCCGTGGACCAAGGGCGTGAACTCACGTCCACACACGCCCACGCACCAAAGGGGAAGATAACTGTTGCGGGGTCACTCGACACGACACTCTCTCGTGCCATCTTCCTCTCCACCCTATCGAAACGGCGACAGTGTAACAACCCTTACCATCACAGTTTCTCGTCTCTCTCTTTCTCTCTTCTCTTTCTCTATGCCAGGGGTTGCACAATCGCGGCCTGATTGATAATTTATACGGTGCGTGCAGGTTATTCGATTATCCGTCCCTCCAACTGGCCCACTCTCTTCTTCCGTTTTTCGTCTCATTTCCTATATGCCGTTTCTCTGTTCTCTTCTTTTCTTTTTTTCTCTCTTGTTTTTCTTCGATGTTGCGTTATTCGTGTTGATCATTTAGGTTAGGTTGTTGTTATATTGTTATTCCATGATTTTTGGATCCTTTGTAATTATTTATAATATATAATTAGTAAGTTGGTAACAATGATTTTTTGGTTGAATGCAGGATATTTTAGTAATTTATTTTAAGATGACTTATATGATATACAAATTTATAAAATATTATGAAATTTTTATATTACCAAACTTGATATGAAGAAATTATTGATCACTTATAATTTGTTGATTCGTAAAATGTTCTAATAGTATTAATTCGATTCTGCAAGATACAAGTTTCGATTTTTTAGGCTTATCTTTATGTTATTTTTTGATCTTTGTTTTTAATTATACGAATTGCTAAATCAGCTTATGATTTGAAACCATAAATTAATACGATTTCATCTTATTATGTGACAAACACGTGTATCGTCTCTTATCCACCTTGCACGTTTCGAATGTCGCTTAGAATATTTCGGGGTAGGTTGTATCTCATCCATTGCACGTGCCTGGCTAGATGTAAAGCGACAATTTACGTATATGTATACTCATGTTTATAAAGAAGAGTATAATAGCATTATTTCCTTAATTAACGTCTTTGTATACATTGTACGTGTTTTAAACATAAAAAAAAAAATAATTTTGATATTGAATTATTCTGAGATTAAAGAATCATACAATAAAAATAATTTAATATTTATATTTTACTTATTCTACAATATATCTATTTAATATTACATAGAATTTTACATTAGATTTTTATCATTAATTTAATATTATAAAATTAAATATATTTTTTAAAGTACAGAATATTATTAATTTTATTAATAAAATTGAATAATTTAATATTTTGTTAATCATTTTCCATAAAAAATAAAAAAAATGATTATTAAATTGAAATTTGATCGTGTCGGAAAGAATCTTGAATATGTAGTATCGTAACATCCCACTGAATACATATATACACGTGATATAACGTATAGATCACGCACGAAAGGAGTGAGAAACTGTACATACGTAACCACATACGAACACAACCCAATTAGACTTCGAAAAGGTACACCCTAAGGCATTTCAGTGTATCGAAATTAATCCGCGCATAATTCTTCGAAGCACGTATTGAGATGCTGTTAGTATATAGTAAAATTTTTTTTTAACGTATTCAGATAGATTTCGAAATACATGTCTAGATTTCTATATTTCTCTTTGTTATCGATAGAAGCAATCGTAATAATAGAAACGAAAGGATCACTTCCACGGTAGAATGCAATGAAAATAAATAAACGTTAAAATCCAGAGCGTACGTTCCTCTGCTTCACGAAGCGGAATGTACCTATTAAACGATGCAGCCACGCGCCAAAATAAAGGATCATGGGGGAGACTAAATAGTTTCCTATAGCCGCAGGCAGTGCACGATTTGTGCATTGAACTGTCATAGGGACATAGGGATATTGAACGTTCTCACGTTTTTCACATGGCCAGTTCGAAACGTCATTTTTGATATGCATGCTGTTCAATGAAGCTCAACAATTGATAAAAATATGTTAGATTTTTTTAATTTTTTATTATTTATACCTAAATAATTATAAAATAGGATTTGTTTTTAGTACAATTTAATTACAATTTAGTTATTCGATTTAATACGGGAGATTATGTAATTATAAAGTATAATATTAGCTTCTATAAAGAATTATTTAAAATATAACAGATTTGATATCATTTTCTAATTAAATTCAGTAACTTCAATTTTAAACAATATAATTTTCAATCATTATTTTTTTAAAATTAATTTAACAAACATTGAATAAAATCTCTCGTTAAATAAATAATAACATATGTACATTCTCTGTATCATATTCTATTTTCGAATTCCATTAAATCATATAACAATACGACATTCGATCGGTAATATCAAATATGGACCAAATAAAAATCTTATATCGAGAGAAGAAACGAAATCGAGCTATCGACCGAACAAACGAGATCCGTCGATACCAAAGAGAATACTTTATCGCAATCGATCGATGCCGCGAGTGGTTACACTGCAAGCGCGTAAATGGCCGCGAGCCTTTATTTAATAAGTTGTTATAAATTAAAAGGCTACTGCATATTAAACCACTCTCGGCATATTTATAATGATTCTTAAGAGACTATACCGAGTGTATGGATATGTAAATCAACCTTTGCTGCTGTTTCGATTCCGCTACATTTCGATCCTTGTTTGCCTCACTATAGCAGTAAAGGATTCTTCGCGATTTCTTCTCTCTACGCTTTTTTACTTCGTTGCGTTACCGCGCGTCCATCTTGACTACCAAATATTGTATAAGTGAATATATATGGCGTTCGTGTATTTTCGTGTAAGTTCGTGTCCACATCGCATCGGGTGAAACCAGAGATCCGAACTCTACACACGTGCAGACATGCTTATGAATTTATTTTCGACGATGAAACGACAAACGATTTTAATTGCCGCCCCGGGCTACATAAAGATTGCCGCAAGTCTTGTAGGATCCTCCGTTTCTTCTTTGCCTCGTTATCTCATGGTGAAGCCGCACCGATAAGTGTTTCGACTTTATCCATCGTGTAGGTTATGCTTGAACGTGTTTTTAATGTGAACGGATATTTTATATAGAAGTGTTATTATTATATATTGGATTAACGGGAATAAAATTAACAAATGATCGAAAACGTACTTTGTCGAACTATAGTATTGTCTCATTAATTATCGTTGAATTACATCTAGCACTTTTTTGAAGTTCTTTCGAAGAAGCTAATATCTGCAATATATTCGTTTTATGATAGATGTTTTGACTAATGAGTAAATATAATGATTTAAACAATTGGTTAAGCAAATTATATTTTCATTATTAATTTACATATATAATAGAAGTATTTGAGTGTCTTTTTTTCATGTATTTTTTGTGTGTGTATATATATATATATATATATATATATATAGATTGAAATATCTTAAAGATTAATCTTACGATTATCTTATAATTTTAATCAGATTTTCATTTATTTATAATCGTGATAATTAAGAAAAATAAATTTTTTTTTGAGAATGAAAAAAAAAGACACTGTGAGAATGAATTATGAAAAAGTTTCCAAGTAAACACGATCGAAATCATGTACACACTATGATTATCATTACCGATCGTAAAATGTTAAAGAATAGATTGCAAAGTATGCCATTTGCTTCATCCAACTTGATTTCATGAAGTATAAACATATATGCATCTATATATATTCGAGGTCAGTATTATTAGTGTGTATTTCACTTGAAACGTTTACGAGCAAAAACTTTTAGCAGTGCTATTATAAATACCGCTAATTTTTATTACTATAAGAATTGTTTGCATAGGTGATTACAAAACCATGAAGTGATTTGTGTGAGACAATCAAGAAATTTTTTCGAAGATTAATTATTTAAAAGTGAAATTTTCACTGAATAACTTATTTTAGATCAGTGTTTTCCAATCTTCTTAATTTACGAATTCTTTTTTTAGAATATCCAAATATTTTATAATTTTCTTATATTTTTAATTGGATAAATTACAGGTAATATTTCATTTTTAAAGATGTATGAATAAAGACTTGATAGAAATTAAAAAAAGATATAAAAAGTTTTATTTTTAGGTTATGTTGCATTTTTATATTTAGAAGCATTTCTTTAATAATGATTTGCTATTAATTTTTCTGTCATAATATATCATAATTTTGCATCAGGAATGAAAATATTTTTGAGTAATTGTATAATCAAATCTTTCAGGATAGAGATGTGAGATTCGTAAAAAAATGTAAAAGAAAAGTAACCATAGAGATTCTGATTCGAAGTCTCAAGGATACTTGAAGACGAAAATGGCAAAGAAATCGCAAACGGCAATCACGGACTAAGTACTAACCTAATCAACCAATCTTCGTTCTGTTCTTCTGTTTCACTACTCCTCGATTCTTTTACTCAAAGAAGGGAAATGATTCGCTACCCTCGAATTATTCTTTCTGTTACAATTCTTCTTATCAAATGAAGTTTAATAGTAATTTCAACTATAGGTAAGATCTTTCTCATATTTTAAATTTGCAAATATTTAAAATTTATATAAATAATACTAAAAATAATATTAAAATTATTTAAAACAATTTATATTAAATCTACATTATACAATTTAAATGATTTCTAAACTAATTATCTTTTTTATCCGCATTGTTATTTTGATTTACATAATTCATGATTATGATAAATGTATTTTTTCTTTAATTTTCCAATTTTTCAATTTTAATATTGCCAATTCAATACTATTTCTAAATCGCATAATTAACAAACTAATTCATGTCATAATTTCTCTTGTTTTTTGCACTTCTGTTAAAAAGATCGGGAAGACCGGAATCCTGTTTGGGGCTATCGTTAAACATCCGATCGTGGTTCATCCTATTTGCTTCTCATGCAATCATCCATCTTTCAAATCTCCTTTTGCAATCTTCTCTTTTCGCCAGTTTTCTTCTCTTCTTTACGTGGGCCTTCATACATTGGCCCGCAGACGTCTCTTTCTCTCTTTTCCTCTATTCCTTTCTCCTCCATTGGCCCCTTTCTCGTAGTCACGAATATCGTTCCTTCATAGTTCATATATCAAACGCTTAGGAAAGGCGGCGACACATAAATACCCCGTACACGGGTATATAAAAGCCACCACCTCGAGAGGATATATCCCACCAGGTAAAATATATTAACCCAGCCTGGGCCGCGTGGGTTTCACTATTTTCGGGGACACTGGCTCTCTTCCCGTTTCACCATCTCTGTTCGACCAACAGTTGAATTTGATTACATTTTCTTTTTCTAGATCGGTCCACTCTTTCCCGATTGGAATGACTTATGGGCATGCGGCGTGCTTTTGGTCTCCGCAAGTCTATCGCGGGATTATAGTGAGCCACGCAACTATAATAATCATTCTCGTGGCGATTTTATTTCTCTTCGATAATATTGGAATTTTGATTATGGAGTGTTGGTATTTTTAATTTTTTTATTGTTATTTTTTATTTGTTAAATCGATATCTTATCCAATTTCCATTATTTAATTAGGTTTTTTGTCGATTTTTAAATAAAAAATATATCAAAATGGATCAAAAATGGATAAAATAACTTTAGCACAATTGGACTACAATTTACAAAATTTGTTCATAGAAAAATATAAAACAAATTTACCATTGCTTTTCTTTATTCTCTGCGCTCAACATTTCAATTAATGTAAATCGTGAGAGTAACGATACTCCACTGGGATCGCTTCGTGGAAATTTCCGTGCATTCCGAAAATTGCTAGGTCCCCAAGTGAGCGAAAATTGGATCGTTTGTATCATTTGCGACTGTAACGCCGACAAATGCCATCCCAGGCTATTATAAACACGATAGAATGAGGTTTGGCAGAGAGTAGGCCAATGATCAGATTATCCTGGAAACTTCTTGGGCAGAGAAACACCCGTGAACTTAGTAGTGTGCCGAGAAGCGTGTACCATGCGCTCGTATATCGACATAAGGCATTGTTAGGATTCCCGGGGGACAAACCGAAATCAAACGCTGTTAGCGCAAACTATGCCCTCGATTCTCACTTAAGTTCATTTTACTACCATACTTGCAATCTCGTGAGATATGTTGCTAGTGTACTAATGCCTTTTATTTGGATTTGTTTTTATTCTTTAATTTTAGTGTTATTTATTAGATAATGGTTCTGATCTTATTTATTAATAATTATTCCTATTTTGTTTATTTTTAATTAACATTTATTTATTTTTAATGAAAGATATAGATAATGATAATGTTGTAATTTGTATACATTTACATGAAGAAGAATATTAAAAATATTTTTAGACGATGCAATTTTTGTTGAATATAATTGTATGATTTAATATAAAATTCTATTTCTATTGATACTTACTTAATTAACATTAACATATATTTGAAAAAATTTAAAATTTTGTTTCAGATATAAGTAATCCAAGTTGCCTGGAGAGAATTAATGATTATAAGTATATTAGATATTGGATTAATCATTATTATTATATCAATTTTTTAATTTATTTTGGAAATTAATCTTTAAAAATAGATTCTCCAAAAATTTCTTATGAATATATTAACATCCTATATATACGTATCTGGTGCACAAGAGGTTTGGTATATCGTATCCGAAAAAAAGCATTCGTGAAGCGGTGGCCCGACAATGGCGGCCAGTAATAAATTATAAATCGAAAAAAGGAGGAACAACAGCAACAAGAAGCGGCAACCGCGGCGAGTTACGGTTTCACGTTAAATATGAAATATTGCTATCCATGTCTCGAAAGTGCGCATGTATACAAGGTAGAATGTGTATATGTATACATATAAAAGTACGGTATTAAGTAGCTGTTTAACATATTTTAATTGCCAAACTAAAATTTGAAATACCACGATATGCTAGTTATAATAACTTTTCTAATATCTATTATAAATCTTTGTAAATCATTTGTCTATAAAAGTGGAAGTTTGAAGTAAAAGATTATTATTTATTTCTTATCTTTGTTTTATGTTCTTTGTTATTTCAAGGAAAAATAAAGCTAACAAAGTTTAATTAAATTGTAGTAATTTACAAGTATTTTTGCAGTAACTTTTTTTTTATTAAGTTTTTATCTTTATGTTAAATTATCAAATATACTTTAACTGTATATATTTATAACTACAAATAAATTTCCAGAAATTTATATCTAACCTATATCTAGATAATGATTTCTATAAAAAAAGCATTTATTTCATATATTATACATATTTCAATATTTACGATTCTATTCATCTATTTGGATTTTCAACGAGTTTTAGGATGACAGATCTTGGCCAAGGGCGGAGATCACCAGCCCATTAAAACCTTATTAATATTGTAATTCCCTTTTAATACGCGTAAATTTAGAATCGAGACAAGCCCACCTTGGAGACTGTTTTATAGTCTTTTTTTTTTTTTTTCATAAATTTTTTTTTCCAATGCAACGTTCATTGGAGTTTTGGAACTGATCTTTACAATGAAAATTTTTAATAAACTTGTAAATTATTCATTGAATTATTTTAATAAATAATAAGAATAATAAGAAAGTAACTAGAATTTTTTTTTTATTATTTAGTTATTTATTGTTATCTGTTACAACAAAAAAAAAACAAATTTTTGACATAAAATGATCAGAAAATGGAAAAAAAATTAAATAAGAATTAAATTTCTTAATTTACAAAAATTCAAATTTATATTATACATTTAGAAATATAGGTATTTCAAAAGTTTCGGTTTAAGTTTAAATTTAGTTTTGATTTTAAATTTGAGTTAAATTTCAATTTAGATTTCTTAGAATAAAATTAAACTTAGTTCTAATTGCAAACTTTACAAATCGATGCTGAAATGTTTTTTTTTATGAAATAGTTTTTAACTATAATTTTTTAAATTCATTAAAAATTTAGTATATTAAAGTTATTTTTAACCTCTTTTCCTTATTAATAACATCTTCAAAAATTGATCACAAAAAAAAATTTTCAAAAACTCAAATAAAAATGTTCAACGAAGTGAAATAAGAAAAAACACTGGTATGTGTTCAAATTGTAGTCCATCGTATATTGCATTCACATATATCATTTACCAAACATTTTCTTGCATTGGTTTTCCATAGCCACGGCACGAACGCAAAAGATCCGACGGTGATCAGGGCACATAGGTAGACATATGCGTATATATACACATAGATAGGTGAAGCAGCGGTTTGTACGGTTAACAAACGAACACAGATATCTCGTATCATCGGCGGATGAGTTAGATGGTCGGTGCGAAGTCAGTCACTTGATGGTGCTGGTATGACGTGGTAAATTATTTATTCACCGGCGACTGCGGGTGAATAATGGATCTTCCTTCGCCGCGAATGGCACCAAGAAACGTTATTGATCACCGAAATATCAAAAGTAGGCGTATCCATCACCGATGGACCACCATACGTATATACAGGGTGTTAAGAAACAAGTGAAACGAAAAGAGGATGAAATGAAGATAGACTTTATTATTTGTTTCTATTTCTCTACATCTAACGCAAACTTAAATTGCTCATAATTTAATAAATAAATTATCAATCTATATATTTTTGAGTTTGTATTTAAAAATCTTTGATTTGTTTTAAAATTTAGAATAAGAAAATTGCGTTGGAAACTTCACCTTATATACATATAGAAACGAACGTATATGGAAACGATCCGGTAGAGGAACTCGCGTATACGCGATTATATCCTGAACACAAATGGGAAGAGTGGACTATACATATAGAAGAAGAGAGGAGATAGAGGTGAAGAACGGATGGATGGATGGACAGATAGACGGATGGAATGCTCGGGCTGCATCGGTACGAGGCCTGTTCTCGACAATAAAATCGATTTTTCATACGAGGCATTTATCATACACCCGCGATAATGGGTGTGTATGGAGATACGGTATAAATATTTCGAGGTAAATAATCGTTAGCTTTCGAGTAACGGAGTGTGGAGAGAGCATTAATAATATCGGTGTCCTTTTCATGTGGTGGAAAGAATTGACAGCATGGTAGAATCCTTCGTTACCAATGACTGTGCGCGCGTGAACGAGAGTGAGGTTATGTATACGCGTGTGTGTAACTCATATGTAAGTTCGAATGATAATAAGCGTCAAGATTCTTATTTGTGAACATTTCTCTTTTGAAGAACAGTGTGAAAAGTATCCGGGAAATTCGAGAACCAATAATGGAAGGTATGAGAAATCTTTCAATTAATTATTTGAAGTTAACCTATCAATTTTCTTTTTCTTCGTGTCCAATATAATTTATATTATCGTATATTCTTACGATAAAAGAAATTTTATTTCAAAAGGATTTGTTTAAGTTTTATGAATATTTGATCATCTAAAAGATAATTTTAAAGATCTTATAAAGATACTATATTGAATTTATAAAGTTAATCTATTATATATTAAAATGACTAGAAATTATTTTATTATTATGATCTTAATGTCGGACGTTTAAAACGCCATTGAATTTTGGTTTTCTCGCGGTCGACAGCGCAATTAGTATCCCGCTGATTTTCAAAGAAGGGTGTTGCTATTCACTTTCGAAATACGCACTTGTGGATACTTCGGTCTCTTCGTGGTCCCTTTGTCCTGATCAATCGAGAAAATTTTTCGGATGGCTTGTCAAGATCGAGGGCTAAATTATCGACGACAAGTGTCCCACGGTCGAATGATTGTCGTTCAGGCAGATACAATAGCATCCGATTCAAACGAACGTGCTTATCTCGGTAAAAAAGTCTATTTAGATTACTCGTATAGCAGATATACATATCTTCCCTACAATCTATGTAAGTGAGCTTTGCTCTTGCATTTGTCTCTTTCTTTTTTCTTTTTAATCTTTGCATTCAAATCTCGGACAGACATGATATATACGTATATTTTCTTTTTTTATTATCGAAATGGAGATTAATTTTTTTCGTGTATTTTTTTTCTTGAATTTCTTTTCTTTTCATTCTTTTCTTTCTAATCTTTGATCAAGTATGTATAAAAGAATTAGAATATTTAGACTGTCATTCATTAATTGAATAGTAGTGTTCTTATGTATATTATTAACTAACTACATTCATAGAAAACGAATTTGAAATTTTAGCTTATAAATTTTTTCCTAATAATTTTATTTTACCAAATAAATTTATATAATTGGTAAAATTTCATATAACATATAAATTTTTGTTTCCTTATTAAAATTTATGAAAATGCATGATAATAAGAATTATATTTGTCCGTTTATATTTCCTACTATTGCGAATCTTATGAAACTTTGCATCTCGGTACTCTCGGTTGAAATTTAGATCCAAAGATGAAATGAAAGGCGAGGCTCAAGAAAGCCTAACGATGTCCGTGACAAATCCGTACCGATTAATCTGCCATAGTGGACGCGAGCGTATCCGTTTCTGTTTATTAGCATCGGTAGACACCGGCCGTTTACAAGGTGTAACTATGTGGCCAGGTGGTCGATCGTCGAAACTCGACCAATGAAAACCCTTTGCACCATGGATGACCCCCAGCTGAGAGTTCCTCCTGGCTTCTTACTTTTTATTTTCTCGCCTCCTACGGCGTTACCTCTTCATCTTCATGGGTTCACTCCGACCCGATGCCATACCGGTCCTCTACCTATTAGAGGCCGGCAGAGGTGGCGGTGGCGTCGACTTCGAGATAATTACACGATCGATATGCTAAATATCTGCCGCCTCAATCACGTGAATAAACGGAGGTACATGGTAAATTGGATTAACCACGAGATTACCGACAACCTAGGGGGATGCAGCTGGAAGTCTGTTTGTTCATGCTACAGACGATGTTTTTGGCGAATGATCTTGACACGAGAAAGATATATACGTTAGTATCTGTGAATTAATTATTATCACATAATTTATTTTATATTAAAATCTTGATTAAAAGAATATTAAAATTTTATAATAGAAAAATTTTGAATCTCTGTAACTTTAAAGATAATGAATCTTAATCTTTTAAATCATTTTTATTCCAATGTAATTTCTCCTACAATTTCTTCTACATTGTGCAAAGAAAAGAGTAGTTTTTATTTATTAGTTTTTATTGTCATCGCTTACAATTCTTTCGTTCATACATTTTACCGATCATTCTGAAGTTTCACATAAATCGGGATGAATATTTTAAATTTTTCTATCTCGATAATTTATTAAGATATCGGAAAAAAATAATTTTTCTCTATATATATTTTCTGAGTGTTTTAGTAACACTAGTTATAATAATACACTAGTTATAATAACACTAGTTATAATAATACGATTATTGCTAAGTTATAATGCTAGTTATAATGCTAGTTATATTGAATGTTTGATTAAGTTAGGTTAAGTTATCAATTTTCCTTCCACTCTTAAATTTAATATCTTATCTTATCTTATCAAGATATAATTATATCAATCGATAAAGAAAAATTGAAATTACATAAAGAGGAACAATTGATTAAATTTGTGCGTATCAGAGATACGATTTCGTATTCATCTATGTACAGGGAACGTTGCCATGTAAACGCGTTCAAACTTATGCACTGGACACGCGAGAAGCGTGAGTTTAATCTACTAACCCATAAGCCCGGACAGACGGTGCCGACCTAAAGGGGATCGAGGATAAGAGATACAGTGGACCAAGGGGTATATCCCATGCAAACCTCCGAGAGGTGGACTTAAAGGCTCTTCGGATTCTTATTTCCCCATAAATAATTTTAATGACGCGTCGCGGCAGTTCAGGTAGGGCGAAGCTATGCGGAGCCCTGGACCTGTAGTCAGTATTGTTATTTATTATATTCATCGCATGTGAGTAAGGCTCTACACTCGAATACAATCGTATTGTACATGTGAAAATGCGAAAATATGATGTATCGTGATCGATAAAACTTGCAGAATTTTTCGTACTTGAATTTCCTCTTATTATTTAACATAGCAATCTTTATTTCATGGTAAAAACGGATTAATTATTAAAATTTTACAAAGTATCAAACGATATATTATATTAACGTAATTTAAATTGAGTTTTTTAATATAAATTATATTATATTCTTTCGATATAACAAAAAAAAAACCATAGATCTTTTTATAATAATAATTTTTAAATCATTTATTTAATATTAAAATCATTCGCAAAATTACGCTATCTAACCGAACTAGAGTTCAGCAATCTATATTTCGCTCCATAAACAAACATAATCAAAACCGAGCAAGAAGATTTTCGATCGTGGAAAATTAACGCAGTTATTTGCCAAACATCTTAAAAATTCCCAGTTTCCTTCGAAATCCCCCGAAAACTTGCCAACCGAGAGAATACTTCTCGTCGTAACCTATCACAACACGCTCGACAATTACGCGGGGCTACCCCATCCCAGGAGAAAGATCTTCAAGAACGATCCTTTTTCACACGCGGCACTCGCGACCAATCGAGAAAGACTCGTATCACAGGTCGTAGTGGGGGATAGCGGCGTGCGCGTGTGCGTCTCGCGGTAGACCGAGTTTCGTGTCATTGGGCGTACCGCACCTCAGCCAATCGGAGACGGCGCAACGCTCGTGCCCACCCGACCGCTTCGGCCACGCCTATTTCTCTCCGATACGATACGCGGCTCTCTCTCCCCGTGCTCGTAGTGTAGTGTAGGAATTACGTTTATTATACCGCCGAGCGTATCGAGTCTCGGGCCATGCTGCGCTCCTCGGGCGTAGCTATCGCTTGCTTGCGGGTCGCGAATTATATTTGTTCGTGCGATTTTACGCGATGCTATTGAGGCTGCGGATTACTCTCCTGTGACCGATAACCAGAAGTTATTAGGGATCGGCGAATTGAATAAAGGGAAGTGTCTCTGGATCGTTGTACTTAAGGCAGTCATGAAGGTATGTGAAAGATATTTGAAAGACATACGTTGGAACGTTGATTGGATAATTTTTTTCTTTTTTTTTGGACTTATTATTTATGGATGAAATTTTGTATTTGAATAATTAAAGTAATTGTTTTGAATTTATCGAGGTTTTGGGGATTTTTACAGTATAGAACTTTGTTGCGTTATTAGGAATGTAAACAAATTCGTATTAAATGATAGGTTAGTATTATTATGTATTTATTTATATCGATTAAGATGTATAATATTATGCAATATTTGTAGTGTTCGTTATTCGTTCATTCGCTAAAATAATTTTTATTAAACGCAGATTTTAGAAAGAATTCATCACGTAAAATTTACAAAGTTCTAGCGTGTTATAAATCTTGCAAATTTATCATTATTTTCAAATAAAACGATATGTTTTTAAATTTTAAATGTTTTTACAAGTTCGTCGCAAATTATTCCATTTCGAGTTTTATAATTATAACCATTAATTCTTTCGAAATTTCTAACACTTGTCAAAATAGCGATAAATTTTGACAGAATTTCAATATTTACTTCGTTAAAAATGTTCAAATATGCGTATAATATCGAGAGCGAAATATCTTGAAATTTTAATGAAATTTTTCAATTTTTCGAGATATATCCCTAGATGTAAAATACATTTCTTTCACATAACAATTTAATCAAGATAAAAAAGAAAAAAAGAATAAAATTCCCAAGAAAATATCATGATGAAACGCTACCTACTTTCGTATAATTTACCTGTGTCATAAAATCCCTAGATTCGTCGCGGTTGTGAGTTGATGAGGTTGATGAGCGTTGGTGGACAACGACACTGTGCAAAGAAAAAGAAAAAAAAGAAATTGTGTAAACGTATGGACTCGAGAAATTCTCGAATTGGATCTTGCCATCTTTGTTGTTTCGCAAAATTAATTTAATAATTTTTATACTAATATTTTTCTTTCTCTTATCCGTCTGTTTAAATCGCTCAAATATAACCAATAATAAATTCTAGAATCGATACCTCTTTGATATCTGCTCGAAATTATCGATACTCGTTCGATATATATTAATATCAGCTAAGATTACTTAGTTATTAATATATTATAAATTATTTATTATTAAACGATTAAAAGTTTTAAATATAGTAATAGTATAAAGTAATAGCTTATTTAACTTATTATTATTGTTAAGAAGAAAATATCGAAGTTACATATCGATATTTTTCATCATGTTAGGTTAGGTTCATCGATATCGATAACTGACGCCAAATAATACCATCTAATCTAACCTAACCTAAAATTAAGATACGTACCGATCGATACTTTCTATCTTCTTAGACTTTAATATTGAATATATCGAATATATCGATAGTATCATTGCTACAGTATATAATACGTAATAATTACGAGTAAATACTGAAAAAAAAGTCAAACGAAAGAGAGAATAAGTGATAAGTAAGTGTCTTCTCGGAACGAATGCGACGTACGTCGCGGTAAATAACAGTCACGGTGTATTCGCGGATATCTATAAAGTATACCTACGCAGAGACGGGGCGAAATCGTAAATATCTGTAAGATCAGATCCGAGACAGGGCGCATCCCACGCGAGGGGCGAGCTTTTCGAGATGGCACTCGGTACGTGTGTGGTCCGGTAAATTGTCGGCGTAAGGCGCAAAATGGCGCATCACCCTGATCCCGAGTTATATGGCCTCCTGGTTTTCAGAGGACTCGTGGAGACGCTCGGTGACCACGTGGCTATTTCTTTTCTTTTCTCTTTTTTTTTTTTAAATGGCCTGTCACCACGAATCGAAGGATCGTGGAAGATTCTTCTTTTATTGAATTCGTGAAACGAATATCGATAATTTGGTAACTTTTTTTAATATGGTTTAAAATAGTGGAATATTTACGAATTTGGATCTTAGATAGTGTATTGTATAAACAAGTATATTTATTTATCTGAAAATTTTATATTCGTGAATCCTGTTGGGATATTCTGTTCGGGTAATAATAGACTCTGATGGACTATTGTAGGGTTAATAAAAGCGATGAATTAGATATTTTAGAACATATTATTATCGTGTTGTCAGAATGTAATCTCTGTGTTAAAATAATTTTCAATAGTACTTTTCTATTACTAATATCAATTATTTTACCAACGCGTTTAATATAGTTAGCATTTCGTATTTATATTTAGATATTATATAAACAGTTATTTTTATTAAATTTTTATTTACAATGAGAGCGCAAGTTATTCAAATATACATCGTAAATAATTTAAATTTTAAATTTCTATTTTAAAACAAAATAGAAAAAGAATCGAAGAAACAAAAAAAAAAAAAAAAAAGAAAACTGATCATTTTTTTAAAATGTCGTCAACAATCCATGCATTTTATTATTTTATTTTTCAATTTTTTCTTTAGAAAATAATCATCATCGAGATTAATAAATCGTCGCGTGATATATTCGAACGTCGAGAAATCCTTTTTTTTTTTTTCTTTCTTTCTTTTCTTTTTACGACAGAAACCATAAAGTAAGGATTTGTCGATAATTTGAAAGTCGACATGATCGGGGAATGGCGCCGATCCCATAGATCGTAACTCCGGATGATCCGTTTTACGAAGGTTAGAATCCTCGCGTTTTTTTCTTCGTCATTAATCTTCCATAATCTTTTAAAGTCTTTACTATAATACTATTTTATCGTCTCGATTCACTTAACGTTTCAACTATGATCTATCGTGTTTTATCTTTCTCTCCATTTACTTTAATTCCAAGTTTTAAATTTATTTAATTTTATGGAACACGAACGTATATATTTTAACAAATTTTATCGTTTTTCTTTTTCTTTAAATTGAATTAAAATACCCAGAAAAGTTTTCAAAAAAGAAATTTTTCGAACATCAATTTTCGATATTTTATATATTTTTCATATTTAAATTTATAATAATATATATATAGCAAGCGAATAAGTTAAGTATTCGTCTAGGTCTAATTATTAGAAGATAAGAGGGGAAAAAAAATCAATCAAATTTAAATACCCGTTCAATAAAATTTAATTCTCTATTCGAATTAATAAATTTCAATCGATCTGCGTATCTATTAAAAATAGAAAAGGACCTGATCCCTTGCCAGACTTGAAACTATTTCGTCTATTTCTTAATTCGAATATTTACATAATCCTTACGTAAAAACGCAAAATCGTCGAAGCGAGTTTGTAAATTTCCTCGTTAAACTCGTTCCATAAAAAATGAAGAGGGAATATAGATAGGCATGGTGAACGAGATTATCGAAACGAATAAGTAAAAAAAAAAAAATAAATAAACAAATAAATAAATCTCGAAAAAAAAAACTCGAGATCTGGATATAATAAATTGATTGGAACTGGCGAAGGAGGAAACACGTCACATTAACATACGCTTGCATATTATTAATAGAGTGCCATAAGTGTGGCTCGATTTGTTTTGCTTCTATCGCGTATATATTATCGCCTCTATTCGCCTCGTCTCGATTTTTCTCTCTCTTAATCCAAGGAATATTCACACTTTGTCATCGATACGCCGACGTGTCTTCGCGCGACCGTGTCGAAATAAAATTGTTCCCCGGCCATTAGCATAACCGCCACGTTCCGCTCGTGTATAGCGATGGGATAAATTCGAATCGAGACTCGTTTCGCGAGGATCGAATGTTGCATTGGAAAATGCTCATCCGTTACATTCGAGAGTGTAAATCGCCTCTTCTTCTTTTTTTTTTTTTTTTTTTTTGGAAATAACTTGTAAAGTTATTCGAAACTTTCAAACTTACTTGATTTTACGAGACGTTCGATCCCATCGCTAGAACTAATTCGAACGTAATTTTTCGATAATTTTTAAGAAAATTTTTTGCACGTAAGAATTAATGGAATTAAATCGTGTCGTCGGATGGAAAAATCTCTTTTATATAAGACATTTCATATGTTACGATATTTAAATTATTGTACAAAGATATGTATCCTTGTATGTATTTCCATACGTTGGAAAAAAATTAATAATCCAATTAAAGTCTGGAGGAGGCAGAGGGTGAAGCACCGCACGACTCCCTTTCCCCAGGAGGCGGTTTCGGTTTCGGTTTATTAGCGACAGACTTGAGCTAATCGCGAGACGAATCTGTTTCTCTTGATCTCTCGGCCATTCACCACAATGGTGAACGATAAAAAGGAACGAGGAGAAGAGGGGGAAAAAAGGAAGAATTATCGGGAAAGTCGACAGTGCAACGTTTTGCGCCCCGTGAAAAAGCAAGAAATCGGATGGCGATTTAAATAGATCTCGAGTGGCTCCTCTTTACATGGATCGTCCATTGTGCCATCCGCAAGGTATACACTGTTCACCCTGTGAAACCGAGGGTGGTGGAGGTGGAGGATTTTTCCACGAAGAGGCGTGAAAGGAGGCTCGTGCCCTTGGTTTGGCGGTATGCGCACCACTCGAAACTCACAAAAACCGGCATTATTCTCTCTCTCTCTCTCTCTCTCTCCCTCCTCCTTCTCCTTCGTCGTCTCTTTTTCGTTTCAACGGGGTATAAACCGGAGAAGTATCGTCCCCGTTTTCGAGAAAGAAAACGGGGACTCTGGAGAAGAAGGATGGCGGGCCACTTTGTCAACTTGTCACCCGGGTCGAGGAGATCCGCGAGAGAAAACGAACGAAAGACCCCTCGGGATGAAGGGAAGAACTACGATCGTTCTTGTTCGCACCAGGAAGTCTTAGCTCCTCTCCTCCTAGAGACGTTCCTCTTTTTCTTCCCTTTTAACTTTTTTCTTTTCTTTTCTTTTTTTTTTCTTTTTCTTTTTTTTTTTTTTTCCTTGGAGAGGAAGGGTGCAAAGCCTTTGTACGTGTAGTGCTTTTACGTCTGGCTTTTGTTTAATATCGTTCTCGATACGATCGTTTGGATAATTGATTTGAGGTTAGGTTCAACGAAAGGAGGATTTTTAATATGTAAGGGATCGAAGAAGTTGCTTGAAATTTATAATATAAATTTTGTT